GGAGCTTGGTAAATGCATGTGGTTGACTGATTGTCAAGGAATGGAGGTTAAAGAAGAAAAGTCACTAGAGGAGCTCTGGGAGAAGCCGAGGTCTCTATTCCACCTACTAATTCTTTCTGTTTGTTCCAGGTGGACACTCCTACCTTCTTTACTCATGCCTAGGGGCTGTCCAAAAGCATCATAGAATCGTTCACTCCAGAGATCGGTTTAACTATCAAGCTCCAATGACATGAACCAAAACCTGAATTTGATCACTGCTTAGAAATATGTGGCATTTCAATTCTCATGCAAAGCAATGTGAGGCTACATTAAAAGTACACTCAGACACAACCTGTTTGGGGGTCTACTGACCCAGTCTTAGGGTTTCATAAGAATGGAGCACGGAATGGGAATGGGAAGACAATTGAGGCACAGGGTGGATGCAGGATGATATTTTCCAGGAAGTTTCCTGCACACGGGCAACAATTTTGGACACAGCTTGAATACTCTAAGGCACCTTACTTATTTGAAACTGGTTCTTTCCTTTCTGTTTCTTAGAATTTCCACTTAAATGCAACATAATGCAGGAACTTTCTGTATTCTTGTTAGGAGGTGATGTAAGGCAGTTTACTATGTTAATCAAACAAAGTCATCTTTTCTGGCTGCCGCCCTTGAAAATGTTCTCTTCCTCCTTTCCCAGTTGACCTCGAAACAATTATTTTTATTGGAGTCTATTTTGAATTATTAGAGTTATATCTTTTGTCTTACTAAGGCTTTCATTTTGCTCTGAGGTATTACAGAAATTATTTTCTTATCCTGTGGCTTTGATAGTTTCCTTCATCTCTCTCTAAGGACAAAGAATTAATCTTTATTTCATTGTAAGTAGACACAAATGTAAGCATCCACATCTACTAAGAGTAGAGTTATGTCTCAAAGATATTAACTGGAAGAATATTTGATCTTTTCAATTGATTTCAAGACAGCATACACAAAGTCTGAAGCTCAGTGAAGACCTTCATAATATTCCAAAGAGATTACATATAAAACCTTCCTCAGAAAAAAATAATACCTACTGCAAGACTATTCCTTCTGTCTGGAGACTCTTAGTCATGTGTCTTTTCATGGGAAAAGGGGAACATGGAATTAGTCAGCATGAACATTATAGAGAAAACTGGGATGGAAATGGGTGGCAGAAAGTCAAACAGTGGCTTTAAAAAAAAACCACAGAGAACAAAAAGTACCATATCTCTCCCCTGGCCAGCTTTTGAGAGCTTGCCCTGCCTTGACGACGTGCCTGAGAGATGAAAAGGATGGAAAAGAACGTGGAGTTTCACAGCCTACAAAGTGGCCATAGTAGAACAGGCTAAGCTAAGAGATAGTTGGAAAATGGGCATAAAATGATTTGCTCTTGTGAACACAAAGACATTGGAGGTGAGGGGTGGGGCAGAAAGTAAAACTTCTGATCAGAAAGGCTAGAGTCAGGGCTTGGGAGGACCATGGAGGCTGAAGGCTCTGTGTCCTGGAAGCTGGTATATTGGGGAATCCCAGATAGGGACCCATCCACCATGTGGCCCAGCCAACAAGCAGTGAGAAAACTGGGTCAGCCACATCACCAAAGCTGCTATGTCACATGGCTCCAGTGGGGGTGAGGGATGGGGGCTGCTTCTCTCTTGTTCTTAAGGAAGCTGTAATCTGCTTGGTCCTAACTACATAGGAGTGTGTGTGTGTGTGTGTGTGTACGTGCACGCATGCTGGTTCTTTTTCCTTCTTCCTCAGGTGGTTAACCCCAGGCAAACCGCTCAATTGGGTTATACATCTATCATCAAAACCTTGTTGAGAAAGGACACCCATAACACAGGCACATGCTATTCACAGGAAGACCCAGGAAGACCAGGTTCATGCACAAAGGAGAAGCTGCAGGGTGAGAGGGGTCAAAGGAGAAAGTCCACCACCCGGGTCCAGCGGAGCTGCCTCAGTGCACAGGACTTTGAGAGGTCGCTATGGAAAACTGCAGTTTCACTAGCGCAGCGTAACGTGACTGAGTCTGGAGGGAGTACCTCAACCTAGAACATTTTCATAGTATGAAGAGAAACCGGAGTGAGAATGTCATCATTTATAAGGGAGCTCAAAGTGGTAGTATTGCCAGTACCACGGGTTTTCTTAGAACCCTCCCTGCCATTGTATAATAAGTTCACTTACGAGCTTATAATGTCATATGGAAAGTTACTTAGTGAGCAGAAATGGTTAGCATGGAGCGACCGGGGATTCGTGAGAAATTTCCACCAATTCATACATTACAGATGGTTATCTGACTCTATAACCAGGAGCAATGCTCTAGCATCAGAGCATTTGATTTCTTCAAGTTTCTTCCTAGCAGAGACAGGGAAACTCAAAGTCTTCAGCAATTTCTTTTTTAGATTTAGAACCGAAAGCTTTCCCCATCCTAACTTTTGGACAACAAAGTCATTATTGTAACATAGTATGCCGTTAAGAAGGTTGTTGGCTGTTCATCTTTTGTCACCCTGTGTGTCTCATTGAAGACACCCTAGCCCCACTGGCAGCACAGTGCAAACACCTCTCAGGGAAAGCTCCTTTTGGTGCAAACACCTCTCAGGGAAAGCTCCTTTTGGTGCAAACCCCTCTCAGGGAAAGCTCCTTTTGGTGCAAACACCTCTCAGGGAAAGCTCCTTTTGGTGCAAACCCCTCTCAGGGAAAGCTCCTTTTGGTGCAAACACCTCTCAGGGAAAGCTCCTTTTGCCACCAGCTGATGTCCCTCATTGAGTGTAGCTTTCTACTTATTTCAGTTTCAGACATGAACTTTGCCTCACCTACAGCCTCTCGACTCCAAGAGCACCTTTCCCATCCCTGTGAGATTTCTTGGTGAAACTCTGTTTTTGGCGTTAAAGCAGTGTAATAGCGCATCAGCACGTGAGTCATCATGCTGTCATGACGGCCAGCACAGATCTTCATTGCATCAGAGGGCCGTGTTGTGACCTCTTTCTTAGAGGATATTAATGCCATTCTTTTCACTTTCTACCCACTTGTGATGGTACCACCTGTTTTTGCATTTAGATGAGGCTGGGATTTACTCGAAATACTGGGATAAACAGAATGCAAGGTTTATAATCAAACATGGGTGGAACAGTCCCTTGGTGATGGCATATGCCACCCTACCCCCCACCACACACACTGGAACCAGGGATCACCCATCTATTAAATACGTTCTTGGGGTATTTGTGTGAAGAACCCTGAAAGCAGAAATGACCAAGAGGCATCATGACAGAATTCCATATATGTTTCAGGATTGAGTCTTCAGAAAGAACTGCTGTCTCATGCTTCATTGTTAACATGAATTAGTCTTAAGAATAGCCCAGGCAAGTTGTGGTGACTCTCTCCTGGAATCCCAGCACTTTGGGAGGCTAAGGTGGGTGAATCATGAGGTCAGGAGTTTGAGACCAGCCTGGCCAATATGGTGAAACCCAATCTCTACTAAAAGTACAAAAATTAGCTGGGCTTGGTGGCCCATGCCTGTACTCCCAGCTACTCAGGAGGCTGAGGCAGGAGAATTGCTTGAACCCAAGGAGGCAGAGGTTGCAGTGAGTTGAGATGGTGCAAGCCTAGGTGACAGAGTGAGACTACATCTAAAAAAAAAAAAAAGAAAAACATGCAGCCTACAGGGTTTTGGGGAATGCTTGTAAATTATATTTTCCAATACTAGTGCTCAGTGGTAGATGTACCAAAAGATTTAATCAATTACATTAACTAAAACATGGATGTTGGGCTATGAAATGAATGCCCAATAAATAACACTTTACAAACCCTCAACAAATTAAAAATGAAAACAAACCTCATAGCCCCTATTACAGACAAAGGTAAATTGGAGATGTCTCTTAGGCTGAGGGCCATAGGAGACTATTCACTGAGGTCCAGAATTAAACAGACATTTCCCTCTAGTACCAACTACTGTTGGAGTGGAGAGGCTTCTGAGAGGGACATTTACAGTAAGACTTGCAGAGTAAAGGAGCGTAGGTGACCTCATGCTTTCCCTGGGTAAATCCACTCTCAAGTCAGACAAGGGCAGAGCCCAGCTGAGCATGTCATTACCCTCCCCAGACTGAGCAGAGGAGTCACTCACCTCTGCCAAGTCAAGGCACAGTTACACTCCCTGGGTTCTATTCACAGGAAGGAAATACCAGGAGGCAGATTCAGGTTGTCCTCAACAGTTTGCAGCTATACAGACATGGTTCAGTCAATATTCCCTTAAACACCTGAGGTTCAACATGTTTCTAAACAGGGAGATTCCATACCAGATTAGGATGGGTGGTGATATTGTGATGTCTCATGTCATATGTCAAAGCTAAGGCTGAGATCAGGAAAAACATAGAGGCGATATAAGACATTTTGACAAATTATGCACTGAGAATAGGCAAAAGAAATCACTTCCTAGTTAAAAGCTAAAATCAGTCATCAAGCACAAAGAGCAAAATGTCAGTTCTGTCTTTAGAGAGCGATTGGAAGTGTGGACAGACTGCCAAGCATATTTGAAGAAGAGCATCCATCTGAGGCTCACACAGGGGAGAAGCTGGGCAAACATTGCATCAGAGAACCATACTCCTGCAAACAGCTATATCTGAGCCTGTGCTGAGACATCAACCTGCCTCTGCAGACCAGGCAGTTCCTAACAGGAGGGAGAGCTCATGGCCCTCAGTCCCAGCTTACCTTGCTGGAGCAGCCGACTTTCTCTGTATCTGGCAACCTTCTCTCCAAACTAACACGGGGGTCTAGATTTCTCCAGAGACTAACACCACCCTCTACATCTTTCCATCGTGATTGATCTAAGGTGAGGTTCTAGAGTTCCTGTGTCAGGGGACCTTGGAGGAAGCTCTCTGTGCACAAGGAGGGGGACTAGGGTTATTATTCTCATCTTGAAAGTGTTTCTGATCAAACTCCCTATATTGTATATTTAGCTTGGCATGTCGTGAGATGGGGAGAAGCTCATCTTTTTTTTTTTTTTTTTTTCGTCTTATTAATACAGTATTTATTTGTCTTTTCTCTGTCAAACCCTGAGCCAACCACGTTCCCCAGGGTACCTGGGGAGGTATAGGAAAAGGAACACACAGGACTGACCATACATGGGAGAAAGAGCTATGGGATATGGAGACGGCTCCTTCACATGGCGAAGAGGATGAGAAAGGCCACCATCAGGCAAAAGAGCCCCATGGCCTCCGAGAGGGCAAAGCCCAGAATGGCGTAGGAGAAGAGCTGTTGCTTCAGAGAAGGGTTCCTGGCATAACCAATGATGACGCTCCCAAACACAGTCCCAATCCCAGCCCCAGAGCCGGCCACCCCAACTGTGGCAGCCCCAGCCCCAATGAACTTGGCTGCTGTGTCGATGTCCCTTGAAATGGCGCTGGTTTGGAAGCTGCGGCTAGAGACAAATGAGGTAAGGGGACGTGAGACTGCCAATCTGCTGGGACTCTCATCTGTCAGTGTCTCTGGTCTTTTCAGAAAAACTGTAGATAGTGGACGGCTCAGCAGCTGTCCCCTGTAGCAAGAAATATGCTTGTTGTCAAAATTAAATACACTGCTTTATTGCAGCAAGGGAGGAAACCTGGCATGGAGGACCATAGGGCATCTCAGCGAGCGGGGCTTTGAAAGGATATGGGTTTGCGGATGGGATTTTGGAAATGGCTCAAGGAGCCATCATTGTGCTCTGGATGGTGCCATTAGAAAGCAGCAGTGATTCTGTGGTTGATGCCTCCCAGTGAAACTTATCCAGGTGCGCAGAAGCAGCAATCACTCCTACTGGCCGGGAGAGAGTGATATATGGTCATATGGGGTTCTGCGATTTGTGCAATGTTATTATTTTTGTCTGTGTTCAGAGGTGATTGCTGGGGTGTGTGTGTGTATGTGGTTGGCTGGTTTTTGTTTTTTTGCTCCATAATAATCAGAGTGGCTTTGTCTGCTGCTGATGTTTTATGAAACTGTTTATGCTCAACGGAGGCCGTCCTGGCCGAGCTGAAAAAACACACCCAGTGCCAATTGTTTTATAATTGCTTATGGTCTCTGGTGCTTATGGAAGGACTTAATTCCCCTCAGGCCACCCATGGGAACTGTACTCTTTGTCTTTCAATCAGCTTATAAGCCACATAAGTTAGCATTCTTCTTCATCTCTTGGAAGAATAAGAGTACTGATGATGATAATAACAATCACACGCTCTGCAGGGCTACCACATACACTCAGGGCTCCCCCAGAGCATTCCTCTTGCTGGCCAGGCCATGGCAAAGTCTGATTAGGTGAAAAGCCAATGGCATCACGTTGCAAAGATCACAACCACCTGGGATCCTGTTAGAAGACTGCAGACAGCAGAGGATTAGGGACAAAGTTGTGTGTAAGAAAGCTCTCCTCGGCCGGGGGCAGTGGCTCACATCTATAATCCCATCACTTTGGGAGGCCGAGGAGGTTGCATCATGAGGTCAAGAGATGGAGACCATCCTGGCCAACACGGTGAAACCCCGGCTCTAATTTTGTAAAAATACAAAAATTGGCTGGGCATGGTGTCACGCACCTGTAGTCCGAGCTACTAGGGAGGCTGAGGCAGGAGAATTGCTTGAACCCGGGAGGCAGAGGTTGCAGTGAGCTGAGATTGCGCCACTGCACTCCAGCCTGGCCCCTGGCAATGGAGCAAGACTTTGTCTTAAAAAAAAGAAAGAAAGAAAGCTCTCCTCAAGATCTTGCCACACAGATTGAGGGGGGATATAGCACGTATCAATTTCACAAGCCCAGGACCCAGCTCTACAGAGGCACCTGTAGAACCATAATCACCAATGCTCATACTTAATAAAAAATTAGGCTCCATTCATCCCAGATTCATAAATTGATAGCTTTATTCTCTGGGAGGAAAAGTATTTGCTGACATAAATGAATAAAAAAGATAGTGGGGCCGGGCATGGTGGCTCAAGCCTGTAATCCCAGCACTTTGGGAAGCCAAGGAGGGTGGATCATGAGGTCAAGAGATCGAGACCATCCTGGTCAACATGGTGAAACCCCGTCTCTACTAAAAATACAAAAAATTATCTGGGCATGGTGGCACATGCCTGTAATCCCAGCTACTCAGGAGGCTGAGGCAGGAGAATTGCCTGAACCCAGGAGGTGGAGGTTGCGGTGAGCCAAGATCGCGCCATTGCACTCCAGCCTGGGTAACAAAAGCGAAACTCTGTCTCAAAAAAAAAAAAAAAAAAAAAAAAAAGATAGTGGCAGTTTCAAGAAGAAACAGTGAAAACACACAGCAGGCTACATGAATTTTACAAATCATTAGATTTGTTTACTCTATAAATATGCAATTCATTCAGAGTAATTAATCTGAAAGGGAACATTAGTTAAAATTTATTTGTGTTGTTCATGTGCCTGAGCACCTTAAAATCATTTTCCAAGGAGAATTATATCTGAGGTGATCAGATAAGTATATTGTGGATTATAGACACAGAATATATAATGCTGTGAATCAAAAGCTCAAGCTTTCTTCTTCTTTTCTTCTTACTCTGTTTTTCTACTTCTCTGTCTCCTTTGCCCTAACTCTCTCTGGATGCTATAGATACAGGGGAGTTTTCTCTGCATGTCTCTGTGCCAGCATCGAGTGCCCCTAAGGTGCAAGCTGGGGTATAGTCATCTCTGAGTGGAGCAGTAAGCTAAGGAGTCTGACTCCAAGTGTCTTTCATTTCTGCTGCCACGGTGATAATCAGAACCTGAGGTCGGGTCATGCCGACTCCATCCTCAGCCCATTATCTCCCAGTCTCAACCCAAGCTCAACCGTTGGTGACTGGCGTAAACCTGGTTGCTCTGACAGTTTCTCTATACCAGAGTGGTCAGGGGTCTTGCTTATTCAAGACTGGGCAGATACGTGAATCATAATCTCATTTTCCATCTCTCTGCTCCATGCACCCATGCTCCCAGCACACAATTTTTCATCAGTCCTTAAACTGCTTTGCAGATGCTGTGCAGCTGCCCAGAGCATCCTTGCCACATCTCCTTAAAACATTTTAACTACTGGTAAAGACCCAGATTGAGTTCCACCCCTTCTGTGAAATTTTTCCCAAATCCCTCCATTTATCATCTTCTGTCTCCCATAGCATCTGCAAAAGTCTCTATGAGACCATGGACCACATTAATGTGTGATTTTCTCACACTTTTTTTCTCTGCCAGATCACCTACAAACTCTATATGGCCTTTGAAAAAAGACATAGATGCTCCATATGTTACCCAAATATATTCTCCTCAGGAACACCCACAGCATACAACTCTTAGAATTTTTTTCTTCCACCTCATCATACCATAATATATTAAGCATGTCCCTGTTGGACACTATTATGGTTCCATACTTTTGTCACAGCTCTAGCTAACTTTTTGCCATGTTGTTTTAATGATATTTTTTCAGACCTCCTTAAGATTACAAAGAAGCCTTCATATGTTTTCTCTGAAAAGTGAAGTGTTTGAGAAAAGAATCTGAGAACAAGAGAGTTATAAATTCAAAGTTGAGCCCCCAAAGCAGTATGAAAAGGTATTCAAAGTTTGAAAGAGGAAAGGAGGTCTATATTTATTTTTGTGTTTTCGCTCATGGTGTTGATGCTTTTAACCAATTATAGTTTTGGGTAAGACAGAAGACACAGCTGAACTGATAAACTAAACTCCTACTGAACTTTAGATATTTTTCTTCAATAATCTTATCCTTTTCCCTTTCTCTGTACTTTTGCAAGGTAGGGGGTTATTGTGTGTTTTTTTCTTTTATCAGAGTTCCCCAGAGAAACAGAACTGGTAGGAGGTACATAGGTAGATAGATAGAGTTATTATGAGGAATTGGCTCACATGAATATGAAGGCTGTATAGCCCAGACCCAGAAGAACCAATGATATGTTCCAGTCTCAATTTGAAGCCCTGAGAATCAGGGGAGCTGATAGTGTAAGTTCCAGTAAGAATTCAAGTATGAAGGCTGGAAAATACCAGTGACCCAGGTTGAAGACAGTCAGACACAGAATGATTTTTTTTCTTGCTCAACCTTATGTTCTAGTCAAGCCTTCAACAAATTAGATGAAGCTCACCTACATTGTGGAAGAAAATCTGTTTTACTCCTTCTATCAATTGAAATGTTAATCTCAGCCAGAAACACCGTCACAGACACATTCAGAAAAATGTTTGACCAAATATCTGGGCACCCATGACCCAGTCAAGCTGACACACAAAAAATTAACCATTCTCAGTTTTTGTAAGAGATCACAGATTTACCCTAAAGGGGGGAAAATAAGAATACATATATTTATATATATCCACCCCTAAAACCCTTAAAACAGGATTCCTGGACTTTCTGGACTTTTGATATTGGGGCTTAGTAATTATCTGTTGGGTGGAAGTCTTCTCTGTTGTATGATGTTTACCAGCACCCACTACGTGCCAGTAGCACTGCTCCCCCAGTTGTGGCAACCAGATATCCTCTGTGGGGGAATCGCCCCTGGTTGAGAACCACTGGTCTGCCACAGTTTCAAAACTGTACGCTGAGGTTCCCTGGGACACTGAAGGAACACACAGGGGTACCAAGGCATGTCTTACAATTTCAAGGGAAACACAATGACATTTGCCTAACACCCACAGGAGCTAGTAATCCGAGATAGTTTACAGTGTTAACATTAAATGACTATATTACTTTTGGTCATATTCCATATTTGTGAATCTGAGTTTTAGGAATAGCTATGATAAAAAGCATGTACTGTGTAAAAATCAGTGTAGAGCAGGAAATTAACATGGTGGCATCCAACCTGATTCCAAGGTTGGGGAATTTGTTCTGTGCAGTAGGTGGCAACTTACTGTGATTCAAATGCTCACAAAATTGTTTGTCCTTAACTACATCATTAACTGAATTGTAGGCATTTCTCTTGCCCTAGGAGCCCCATGAACAAACATTTGAAGTGATACAGTGAGCATAAACCCAGAGAGTTTGAAACCTCTGTCTGAGCGTCAACAGATATGCACATTCCTAATATATGGTGAGGAATCACCTTTTGTATATGTGTTTTTTTATTTTTCAAAATTTAGTATGTGTATAACACTGAACATAATTTTAGGGGGTTGTGTGTGAGGAAGTTTAGGTAGAAGTAGATATTATTATTCTTTTTATCAACTGATTTGAAGATGAGTTAGTAAAGCTGACCATAACATTGGCATCATTAATAAGCCAAAGGACATTTCGAGAGTGTTTACAAGACTATTGTAATTGACTCTCTCTTTTAGCTTCAGTAAATAATGTGCCTGATGTTACAGAGACCTTGGCTATCACCTCCACTCCACACAAGGCACACTTAATAATTTTCTTAGGATTCAACATGGTCTTTGTATAGTGTAAAGGAGCAACCCTCCTTTAAAAGGGAAATCATTGAGACAAGAACCAGGGAAAGAGAAGTATTGTTGGCCTCAAGAAAAGCTGGTAGAAAGAAGGTATGAAGAAAGTTGAGGAATGAGAGAGGATCCTACAGCTAAGAGAGGAAAAGTAATATTAT